AAACAATCAATCCTTAATCATATTAAGGAATTTACTACCTAGCTTTTTTTTTTGCAAGCGTTGCTTTTATTATCTGCGGTTTAATAAATGAACATCATATTGCTTGTCTTCATTTTCAATAATTTTCTTATGAAATGACAGGAAATCGAATAAGAGAACACTTTTTTGAACGGATTAAAAAGGATTATTTAGATGCCTTCACACATTCGCATTGCTTAGAGGTTAATACTCCTATTTCTAGAATACATTAAATTTAACCATTGTAGCAATCACAAATTAATACTTACCTATTTTTATTTTATAATTTTTATCCTTTGAATTTAATTCTCGTATAAAGATTGTTTAGTTTTGAATATATTTTATAAGCAAAGTAATGGAATATGTTGTAAGATTTTATTTGTAAATGAACATTAAATAACAAATGAACATAAACTTTTGTGTTATATATATATATATATATATATATATAAATATATATATATATATATATATATATATATATATATATATATATATATATATAAAAAGCATTTCCTCTATCATGAATACGTTTTTTTCTTAAAATTAATTATTTGAAACTTTATTATTTCTATGAGAAGTAATTTTTGCTTTGATTTTTTGAGCAGTGAACGGAAAATTCTTAATTATATTATTGTTTTCTAAACTATGCATACTTAATTACTCATGTCTGAAGTTGACAGTCAGACCAATTTTTTATTTTTTCTCAATTTAACTCAAATATAGATTGTTCCTTTTACAATCTCTCTATATCATTTACTTGAGAAATCAATAAAAATCAAATGACATGAAAATTCTCGATTATATTGATTCTTAATAATCCAAAAAATATATTTCTCATTTGTATTTATTTTGTAAATATACTGCCCTCTAAAAGTGAAGGCACAACCTATTTAATGTGTCTAATTTGAAAGTGAATGAAATCAGAAGCAGGAAATTTGAAGAAAATATGCACACAACTAGCAGTTCTGAAACTGTGGTCCGCAGACTCCCAGAGGTCCCCAGCACTTTTCTAGGGGTCCAGGAAGATCTCTCATTAAATATTAAGATATCATTTCCCTCTTTTACAGATTCAGAAAAGCCTCGTAGAAAAATTGAAAATGTGCATTCTAGACTAGATCACTAAATTGCTACCAATGAAAAATATCTAGAACATGCATATTTTGATCAAGAATATTAATTCAGGGAGGAGTATTAAGGATCCACGACGTTAGGCTAATAATAAAAGGGGGTGATGGAAAGTGTAAGAATCGCTGCACTTAACAGTTTTTTATTGAACACATAAATTCGCATAAGTTTAACACAATCGTACTTTACAACCAATAAAAAAAAACACCGTTGAAAGAAAAATTTATTATTAGAGGAAGCAAAATATCACAGATTTATGAGGAAAGATATCTTGGAAACATTTCAAAAATGGGTAATAATCAGAAACATGTCCACTCCTAGCTGCATTACGTTGGTAGCTATCACATTTTCATGCTACCAATTAAGTTATCTGATGCTGATATGGGAAGCGAGGATCAAATATGGAGTATCCCTTGCTCCAGTTTCATATAAGGACTTTGAAGTCGATGTTAAAACACCAACGTGTCCACCGAATATGCTCTATCAGATTAAGATCTAGACTCTAGATCTTAATCTCAGGTCAACCTCTAGATTCTAGAGATTGACCTGGCCATTTTATTCGTTCCAAACTATGGACCTGAAGATAATCCTCAACCAGCATAGCTCAGAGATTTCAACCATTATTTCCATCATAGCGAATTTATTACCAATAACAATGGTGTATGGGTGAATTTATCGATCAAGGATTTCACCCAAATATTTTACTCCCGTCATAATACCTCCATAGACCCTATAAAGATCAGTGTGACCACCGAGAGAGATATCTATCCAAACAATGATTCCACCACCTCTGTAAACATTGTTGAATGAGTTATATCTAGTGAGTTGTTCATTTCAGATCATCAGACACCCTGAACCGCTGTTCAGTGTAAACCTGAACTCATCTGTGAAGAGTAGAGATGACCAGTGCCGTTTGAACTAGGAAATCTGCTCTTTGGCACAATATAAAGGGGGACATCTTTGTCAAACTTGGGGAAACATACATAACTGGTCATTTTGCATAGAGATTTGCTATGGGAAGGCTTTTTGTCATCATTCTTAAAAAGATTCTTCTTTCTGATACAACAAAATGATATTCAACGAGATGAGGATTCGTAGTAATTATTTTCATTCAGCTTGAAAGAGTTAGACAACAGTCTCCCTCATAGGTGATCTAACTGGTGATTGACCTGGAACATGTCTTGTAGATACATAGTCTTTAAATTTCAATTGTTCCTACAGTAATTGAATCCCACTAGGAGCTTATTTGAGACTCTCTAGCAGCATCAGATTATGACAAGCTCTTTTCTATCCACTCCAATGACTGTCACCTAAATGAATCGGAAAAAAATTCTCTAAAATATTTTTAAACTCTCTTGGATACTCTCAACCAAAATACCAGCAACCATTGATGATCAAAAATCATACACATAACGTAAACACCAAGCTGGATAAGTTGGATTTTTGCACATTTTCTCACATTTCTACTTTGTGGGGGTGCCGGCCTAATCGGCACCCCTCTCTCTCCGTCTTGCCTGGCTAAAGATGTGGGGAGAAACAAAGCATCACCAGCAACTTCCATAATAACAATTAATTTATTTATCTTCAAAAACACTTAAACAATCACAAGTGAAACTACAAAAGGAAACCTAGGAGTGATATATAAAGCGTTATCTAATCTCAATGTATTACTCTAAGTAAACCCGACTACGTGAACTAGATAAGGAGAACAAGCGCTAATGAACCGATAACTAATTCTTATTTCATCTATCTTAGATCCTCAATCTAATAATTTAATCTCTTAGTAATTACTTCCTTGACCCGCGAAATGAATGAAATATTCTAATATTCACACTTACATAACATCGTAACAGCTCCTCGGCTCCTTACATCTACAAAACCTATATATAGACTTTATATAGTCAAACTAATTTAAATATCATGGTTTCTTCTTGAAAGGCTGTGAATTAATGTGAATGCTAGCCCCAAAGTTTCCCCAAGAGTATTAGTAGAAAAAAGACGCGAATACATACGTCACAACTAAAATAATAGTTTCTTTAAAATAAAAGATATGACGACCTTTTTTCATATGTTTTATTTAAGTACACTGGTGTCCAGAAGTTAAGCATAAATAGTAAAATGCGAAAAACATGGAGTAAAAATTTGTAAAATTATTCCAAATTTCTTGTGGATATTAATTGGGTGAAGAAAAAAAATTAGGTTTATGCAAAACTTTTCAGTCGACTACGTCCTGCGCGAAACACCGGCGCATGTCGGAACGCGGAGAAACCGATTCACGCAGCATAGGCAGTTCAGACAAGTTTCGTGCAACTGCTGTGCGAAGGAACATTGTTAACCATCAAACAAGGTGAATGATGGCACAAAGAAGCCAATTGGACATGTTTACGAAAAGAAGAATCGTTGGAATGCTGGAATCCTCACGATCACAAACCGAAGTGTCTCGAATTCTGAATGTGGACCAGTCTGTGATCTCAAGATTGTGGCAGAGGTTTCAAAGAACGGGAGATGTTACCCGACAACCAGTATCAGGTCGACCAAGAGTCGCAACCCCTCGCCAAGACCGATATCTGGTAATAAGTACGCGACGTCAGATGAGCAGTACTGCCAGAACACTGGGTTCGGCGCTCACAGTCGCCACAGGAATACGAATTTCGAGACAAACAGGAGACTCAATCATGCTGTCCTGTATGCCAGAAGACCAGCAGTTTGCATTCCCCTCACGTCTGCGCATAAACGCGCTCGTTCGAACTGGAGTTTGAAATATCAACATTGGAGTGTGGGAGAGTGAGCCAATGTGATGTTCAAGTGACGAGTCCCGGTTTAGTCTGAGTAGTGATTCTCGGCGGGTAACGATATGGAGAGGACGTGGAACACGTTTTGAACCAAGAAACATAACGGAAAGAAATCATTTTCCATCAAGTGGAGTAATGGTATGGGCAGGCATCATGATGGACGGCCGCACAGACCTCCATTTCTTTGACACGGGGTCTGTGACTGCTCAAAGTTACATAGACGAAGTTCATGAGTCTTATGTTCGCTTGTTTCGAGGTGCTGTTGGTCCTGACTTCATATTCATGGATGATAATTCGCCATGTGACCGAGCGGTGCTGATTGATGACTTCCTTGAAACGAAAAGCATCCAGCGCATGTCGTGGCCTGCGAACTCCCCTGATTTAAATCCTATCGAGCATGTATGTGATATGCTCGGGAGACAAATTGCAGCCCTTTCGCACCCACCAAGCTCCGTTACACAACTGAAGAGAGTTCTCCAAGAAGCTTGGAACTGTTTGAGCCCACAACTCATCCAACATCTCATAGCAAGTATAGTAAATCGCTGTGCAGCGTGGCTGGCTGTCAGAGGTGACCACACGCCTTATTAAACTGCAGCATCAATATTTTATTTAATGTTTTCTTTCATTTTTTCTTGAAAGTGTGAATCCTTGCTATGCTCAGTTTTCTTTCAAGCTGCTACTTTGGATAATAAAATTAATTATTATCATTCTTTTGAATTGTTTCCTTATATTATAACCACTTTACACTCGCATATCACGTTTCCCGCCTTTCTGATTTACAATTCCTTCCTTATTCACATAATTATCAATTATGCTTAAATTTTGGACACCAGAGTATATATATATATCTTGTTCAATTTTCAATCGTTAATAAAAAACTTTTTATTCATCCACACACACACATTCAAGTTCAAATACATTTTTTAAACTTTGTAGTGGATGACACTTGATGTTAATACAATTTTTTCAAACATTAATTAATCCTACTTAATTAATGAGTAAAGAGTAACAAACAAAAAGAATGATCCAACACCATGTATAAAAAGGGAAATCGCTCATTGTGTCTCTGTAGCGCTATGACTAGCGCGTTGGAGTTCTAATCCAATGGTAGTGGGTTAGAAACCCACCTGGGCTGGCATAGTTTCTGCGAATGTTATTTCTTTTTACTATACTATTTTGTTGGAATAATGAATGAATTAATAGTAACAAACAAAAACAATAGTTTAACACTATATATAGCAAGGAAAATCGCTTTCTATTTGCCTTTATTATTGTGATTCTGTCATATGTATATACATAGTTATATGAATTGTAATAATTTAATAAAAAGTAACTAAAATTTTTTTCTTTGTTGACTTAAGTAGGAATTGACTTATTTTTTTATATTACTTGTTTTAAATAAAAATAAAATGCTTCATAAAATGCATTATAAATAAATAATATATATACATCACCTTTCAGTAAAATAAACATGAAATAAAGAGAATTTGATAATCAAATAAAAGAAAAAGTAAATAATTAATAACAAATAAAAAAAGACTAAATAATAAGACTATTTTGCTTACATGACGTAATTCCATCTGTTGTATAGTAAATAATATGTTTAAAATTATACATATACGTATATATATATAAGCAAGAGTTTTTAAAATATATTTTAAATAAATAGCAATAATTATTAAAAAATAAATTATATGTATTCCGAGTGTTTTAAAATCATTTAAGCGCATAAATAAATATATTTTTTGCTGCAAAGAATATTTTGAATACTTTAAAGATAGATGCAATATAAAATCATTCTGTATTTTTACATAAAATACTTTAATGCCGGTTTGTGTCTTGATAAGCATTTATGGCTTTCAATTTTAGACCAATGTCTAAAATCTGGCAATAACAGATTTAACAAACAATATTGCAATTTACAAATTACAGCTTAATATTTTAAGTTCTGAACATTTAAATTGCAATGAAAATGTGAAATATTCCATTAAAAATATGCCGTAATGTCTCATTACACAAAGTAAGTTATTTAAGAAAATAAAAGAATATATTTAATTTTTTAATTTCTAATGTATATAATAAGGTCTTAGGTACTAGTATTTGGCTTGGAATTATTTAATACCAATGTGAATAATTACATTTTCAACACCGTATAAAAACTAGCTTTTGAAAAATATTAAATAAAAGAAGGGTGTATTATTACTTTACATCTAATCTTCCTAGAGACTACTATTATAAAGAAAAAGTGATTATTTTGTTACAAAAACTCTGTTGTTAGAACTAAGAAATGTCTCTTTTAATTATCTGCAAAGTTCAAAAATTATTCCCAGAGTGTTCTGTGAGAAGATTAATATATTTTATTACCTCAAGCAGTTTTTGTATTAATTTATTTTTCTTTTTGCTGATGAAGTTTCCTTCGTTTTTTGTAGCCGCCACCAAAAAGTGAAAAAGATGAAGATGACATTGAAGCGTAAGCACTCTTGTTCAAATTTAAAATAAATTAAATTTTAGTTTCTTTCTAAACTAATTTTGATTTCGTTTTTTTTTCACCAAAATAGGATCTTGATTTTTTAGCGTCATGAAAAAACATCTTCCATGCTTATAAATAATTTATTTTTATTTGTAGACATTATTCGTGGATTTAAGTTTAACTAAACATAACAATTTTTATAATAAACTATTTCAAAATAATTATATTTAAGCCTATGTATGTGATTTCCTAATTCAAACTTAATACTTTATTTAATTATTATCATATCACATAAAATATCAATTCAAAATAATATTTTCCCTTTATTACAAAATGATAATTTTTTTTAAAAAAGTATAAAAAAGATAATTAAATAATTTTTGATGGATGTAGATTATTTAATTCAAAACAAGATCATTATTAAGATATCTAAGTTTTAAAGATAATTCATTAAAAATTTCCTTAAAATATGTCAAATAAAAATTACAATAAAACTTTTCAATGTCCTTTTTTTAATCACCCGCTTTAAAATTCAACTTGAAGCACATTCTTTAAGGGCAAATTGATTAGAATGTAGGCCGCATACACTCTGGTGTTTTTAACATAACATAAAATATGCAACAAAATCACCAAAACATACATTACGAAGTTAATAACATAAATAATAAATGCCCAAAATGTCCCGGAGGTGCATTTTTAAGAAAATATTCTTCGTAAAATTCTAAACATTGGAAGTAAACAAAAGCGAAAGTTCCCTAAAAGCAAATTAGTGTTTATTTCTTCTCTAGAAATCTTTTGCTGCCGGCAGGAGTACCTGCAGAGCGTCAACACGCACGTTTTATTGTCAAAATTTACAGAGCAGATGGCTTGCCAAGAATGAATGCTGGAATTGTGGCCAATGTGAAAAAGGCTTTTACAGGAGAAGCTCGGGATTTAGTGGATCCTTATGTTCAAGTGTCTTTTGCGGGACTCACTGTAAGTGGTTTCAGTTGTATGACTCCATTCCATTTTTATTTTTAACACGCTTTTATTAGCTTCACCCCTGTATGCAACAGAATCTTTAATCTCGATTTTTACCCACTTTAAAAGTCTGATCTATTCGAAATTATGCACACTTGTCGAGGACCGATGACAATACAATAATTTAACATTTTTTTTCATTGTCCTGATCAGGTTTATCAGAATTAACGATTTCCCATTTCCAGATTTCTCAACTAATTCGAATCCTATTTCCAAATTTGTTGATTAACCCTAACGGTACAACCCTAAAGCGAAACTTTAATGTGCATTCCAGATTCTTTAAAAAATGTCGCATTTTAAATTAATTCATCAATGAATGATTGTTTAAAAAACCAAAAAAGTTCGCTGTAGATCATGTAATGAAAAATAATATATAGTTTAAAAATACTAAACAACACGCTTTTATAGTTAATCGAACTAAAAAGTAAAAAATTATTCATAATATAGGAATAAAATGATTAATAAGAAAATTGTCTTTGTGGTAAAAGCGTGAGACGCTTTGTACTACATTTTTACACAAACTCTGCATTTCGGAATAGGACTAGTTAGAAATTATAACAATTTATACCAGCCCCCCCCCCGCCATGCTTACGATATTAATATTTTCTCGTTAATCATTTTATTCCTATTTTTACTTTATAGTTCAATTAACTATAAAAGCGTGGGTTTCTTTTGTAGTTTTTTTTAACTATAATTTATTATTCAGTAACGTGACGAAAACTATTTCGAATACTGTTTACAATTAAGAACCAAACAAAGGCTATATTATAATGGGGGAGTCATAATTCACGAGATCAGTCTATATTAAACGTATGTACATTTACGGAGGTGGAAGATTTAGTTACGCGTTTCTGTGGGGTTATAAATTAACTCATATTTGAAAAATACTGTTTTTAACATTCACTTTCTGACAACCAATCAAGATCTTTTCTATCAGACCATTTAAATTTTCTCCTCCATTTTCTCTCAAAAACTCGGATTTTTTTTTGTTGCATTTCGATAGGCGCATCCTGATTATTATTCGACATTCTTTCTTTGCATCTTAATTAAAAATTAAATTTCAAAGTAATTGCCTCTTTTTAATGTAAACTCTTTGATATTTAATAAGTTTTCTACACTTCGGAAAATTGGAGAGCATGTCTTTACCATCCTTACTCTGTAAGGACTTGATATTGGATTCCTACAGGGCTAAGTGCTCCTTTGTCTACGCCAATGATAAATTCATTCCTAATTTAACACAATTATGAAAACACCATTAAACACACCCTATTTTTATTAATGTATGTCCAAAATATATACAAAAAAAAAAAAAGGTTCAAATGTTAACCACGCCATCTCTTCGAATCCTAGGGCTTTAACATATCAAAGAAGCAACACTATTGATGCCGTAACACATATTTAGTTATAAACAATCTAAAGCTAATGACAAAGCCTTGCGACCTTTTACATTAATATTACTTTAATTCAAATATTAATTACATTTTTCTACAACATGCTTAGAAAAAATATGTTAATTGCCAAAAGAGTTGTTAATAAGGAATTAGCGAAATTTAAGGTTTAAAATTATTAAAATTGATAAAAGAGTAAAATAAAAGGGATTGGGTGAATTTACATTCCTAGACATTTTCCTCCTTAGACACCGCTGTTTCAATTCTTAATCATTTGCGAAGATCATAAATGTAGCATCAATTATTGGAACTTTAAAAATTGAACTACTTTATTACTCTTTTCAAAAAAGTGAACATTTGTATATTTCCTATTAGGCAATTAACTGTAGATATTTACTAGCAATTTGATTCATAAATAAACTAAGTTAAAAATGTTTTCAACTTTTTTCTGTGGATTAAATAATACCGGGTGGGCAAAAAGTCCGTATAAAACCCGAAAAACTAAACAAAATAAAAAACGGTTTGCAGGTTTAGCATCGATAAGTCACGACATTTTTTTTTTGAGATAAGAAAAAAAAACCTGCCGACAGATGGCGCTCGTACAAACGATTGAGTTGGAAATATGCAAATGAGATAGGCGATTGCAAATACTGATGCTCTTGATCCAGATCTAATTCTCCGTTGCATACGAACTAAGTGAACAAGGATGCTGAGCGAGAAAGAGCTTTGTTGGTGAAGCTGTTTTCCATGAACAAGGAATCAGCGACTGTTGCACTGCGTAAATTCTGACTTCAGAAAAATGTGAAGACTGGAAAATTGCCTTCAACAGTGGTACGCCTCATAAGGCTTGTCTAGCGATTTGAGGAAACTGGATAGCTCGAGGATCGTGTAAGATCCGGACGATCAAGTCTAAGAATCATTAGCAAACGTTGCAAGTTTACATGGCCTCCTCGGTCTCCAGATCTGATTGCAAAAGACTTTTGGCTGTGGGGATATTAAAATTCACGTGTGTATTAATCTCGTCCATCCAATCTGTCGGAATTGAAAGATGCGATCCACCGAGAACTGTCATGTATACAGGCGGACATTTTGTGTGTGCACTCTTCCATTGCTGGATTTGTAACACGCTTGGAATGTATCATCCCTTGTAGTGGTGGATATGTGGAGCACATGCTGCTGTAATAAATGATTTGGTAAAGTTACTTCTTTTATTTGTGAGTGTCTTTTCTTTCACTTATGTACAAAACGCCACCTATTGGG